CGTCACACATGAGAGACAGAACTACTGTTTGGATAAGACTCTAAAGAACCTGTTCGCCGTCCGTGACGCTACGTTGGTGTTTGGCAGGTGAGCCTGAGGCTGACTGAACAGAGTCCTGATCCGAGTCTCTTGGTGCAGCCATGCAGCTACCAGTTCCTGCTGCTGCTCTACGTCACCAAACTGCATCTTATACTGCGCGATCATGCGCAGGCGACCCTGGTGGAACTACAGAAGACCAAAAGAGGCTTCCCCGCTCTCTGCTCGAACCCCCTGAGTGGCTTCGTCCAGTAGTTACACTGTCCATGGTTCTCTACGGTGGCACATTAACATGTAGAGCAGGGGCCGGCAAATTCTTTTCAAGTCATGAGATGGCGGGCCAGAACTAGGAGCGTGGAAAACAATTGATTTTTAGATGCGTCGCAATGCGGACTTTTACGATTATGAATCGATTAACAAATGTCAATAATCGATTATCTAGACGTTAATTGATAACGTAACGTTGACAGAACGAAAAAGGCGGAACTCGGAAATGTGGAAGTGCAGCTCCGGACCGTCGAGCGGTTCTCCCTGTTCAGCACAGACAGGCAGCCGCTGAGTGAAAAACTGCTGCTACTAAAATTTCACATGATCAATAAAGTCGATGCGTAACTCTGATTTTCACCCGCACACGGTGCGGCGTCCTCTGCTCCTTCTTCTGTAAATGTGCAGTTCAGGTCACAGCGTGTCTGTTTATTAAAGTCTGTTGTTTTCCAACTACTGGATAAGTGAAGGCGGTTAGCGTTAGCAAACATCTCGTCTTCAGACTGCGGTCTGCAAGCTGAGCAGGAAATCTGGCTGCTGTAAAGTTGGTTTGTTGTCATTCATCCACATAGCAAAGGACACAAATGAACCAAATGCTGCTTCTCAAGGCCCACGGTGCTCAATACAAGATCACAAGCAGCAGAGGTCACTAATAACGCTGTAATAATGTAATAATGCCATGTTAGCTACATTATCATTAAGTAACTTCACTACCTAACACTGGATTGTTACAAATACTTGCTTTAAAAGTACCAGCTAGAAAAATCCATCTGTGTCCTGTTTGTTTTACAGTCGCATCGTAGCCTCATAATCGTAATGAGGTGCCTGGAAATTCCCTCCTTTGAGGTGACGCTTCGAGGAATCGAGTCGTGAGACCAGTGAAGATGCTCACCCCTCGCCAGAACATCGTCAGTTTATCATTTGTAGGCTAATCTGTTATTTCCTGTGCGCTTCTTTAGCTCAGTCAGCAGTTGTGTGTTCAGTCCCTCTTGCTGCTGGTGTTATCTTTCTCTTATTCAGGGGAATCTGACGGCTTTTTCAGAGGTGTGTCAAGCTTTTAGCTCTCAGTCAAACACGACATGAAGTCCTGCTGCAAAGATGTTCTCAGGATCAGGAGCACAAACCACAGAAGAAGAGAAAAGCCTTTCATTTCCTAGACTATGAAAGACACGTTAGTTTCTGACGCACGCCGTAAATCCAGCAGCCTGTTTGACATCCGCACCTGTCCTCAGGCCTCCAGCTCTGTGGCTCCACTGAGATGGACCAAACGGACGGACAAACCAGACGCTTCAGGGACGAGTTGGACTGAGTCCACGTCAGGGTTTGGACAAGCTGTTCCAGCGAGAATATAAACCTGTTCAGCTGAGCGTACCTGCAGCAGTAGAGATGTTCCAGTGCTGCAGTCGTCAGCGTTTGGTCTCTGCTCGCTCTGACTGACGGCGGCGTGTCTGTAACCATGATGCGTTCAGTCTGCATCCGTTCAGCAGGCAGACGAGACACACGGGACAGAGGAGCAGACGCATCGAGAGCCTCTAGTGGGCGCTAACAGCACTTTACATCGTTACTCTCCGTTTAAACAAGACATGCAGGAACAAACAGCAAAGTCAACGCACACACGAACTCTGTGATGAAGGACACACACACCTGTACGTCCAGTGACTGTGACAAACACACTGAGACAAGGTCGCAGCCTCTGATTGGCCGCTCGCTCGGGGTCTGAAGTCCTGTAGGAGGAGACGAGGCGATCAGTCAGACACAAACTTGGAGAACAGGTGACGCTCGGCGACACGCCGGAGGCGGGAGACATTAACATGAGACGTCCTCTGCTTCAGGAGACACAAGTTCAGCCAGGCTGGGACACGCCGTCCCTTTAACAGCAGCTGTTAGCAGTTAGCAAGCACAGCTACCGCAGTTTCTGCACGAGGCTCTTGTAGTTCAGCCTTTTACAGTAGCTTTTATTTTCAGTCCGTTCTGACTTCTTCTGCGTTCACCAAGGAAAGAAAGAGGAGACACCTTGTCTCATAACGAGAAGAGAAGCTGTCAGGATCTCCAAACCTGCTTTAAGCTGAAATGTGTCTCTGCAGCTGAGCGAGCTGATCTGTCTCTTGACCACGTCCTGCTCTCACACTATTTCAGTTTCGTTTTTAAAGCCTGTTTGCTCGTTTACTTTATGCTTTCCTTTAGCTTTTGATGGCAGGCAAGGAGCGTGGACTAAAAACCGGAAGACAGATTTCATATCCACCCAAAATACTCATGTTGGCCGTGTGAAACAAACGAACAAAGTCTATAATTCTACTTTCTTTCAGGTTGTTTTAACAGTCTCAGTTAGTACGACGTGTTCTGGTTATTTGGATAGTTTTGGTTAGCGGTATAATAACTTCTCTCTGGACGCCTCGCAGGTGGAAATGTGACCTGCTTGTGAAGAGCTTTTCTGCTCGCTTGGTTATTTGTGTGAATGTTCTGCTGTTAGTCGGTTGTGGGCGACTAAAACTTCCTCATTGAAACAAGATAAGATGCTCATTTGTTAATGCGCTGCAGGGGAAACAGAGGAATGAAAAGGAGAACCGGTAAATATATTCACACTGTACACAATCAATGTGATCATTTCTTACAACCAGTTAAATGTCCCGTGTGATCATCAGAGCGCAGTGACGTCTACATCCTTAGGTAGGGGTGGTGATGGAGCAGTGGATAGGACGCACGCCTTTGGTGTCAGAGACCCGGATTCGACTCCACTGTGAGACACTGAAGTGTCCCTGAGCAAGACATTTAACAAACCTCGACATATTTAATAATTGTAAGTCGCTTTGGATAAAAGCGTCAGCTAAATTAATAAATGTTATTTCTGTGTTTGAAACAACAGTGAAAAGTGTTTATTTGAAAAGTAGATCTGTGACAGTGGAATAAAGTTTGGATGAAGACAGAAATCCACCGAGACGCTGCTCTGTCTACGAACGCAGAGCATGCTGGGAAACGCAGGGACGACCATCAGATAGAATTTCTGCCTGATCATAACGAATGAGACGTGTATGTAAAGAGGAGGAGGAGGAGGAGGAGGAGGGGGAGGAGGAGGAGGGGTGGAAAGTAGGCCAGGGAGGAGACGCAGCCACCAGAGACGCTGCTGAGGACAGACTTCTATTTAAACGTGGTCCAGGACTCTGAAGTGAACTCGTCTCTGCAGAACTTTCCTGAATGTGTTTACACTGATGTGCTGCTGTGGGACTAAGAGACCTGCAGATCTCTGGCCCCTCCATGTGGCCCCTGAATGAACTGCAGCTCAATTCTGAACTCGGAGGAAACGCTGCGTCAGCTCCTTTTCCTGCTGATTGTCTGCAAAAGGAAATTGTGCATTTAGTTTCTGTCACCAGCAGCTGAACGCTTATTATTCATAAATACATCTGTATGCAGCCCCCCCCCCCCCACACACAGGCTGAGGGCCTCAGTATGTTAAAGGATGTATGTTAAATCTGACTGGGTTCTCAGTATTGATAAATCGCTGCCCTCCTGTCTGATCTACAATCTCCTCGAAACTAGAAACCTAATCATAAAAAATCATCTCGTACATGGAAAATACTACACACTGATACTTAATACTGTACTGTAGCCTGTGACTCCCAGCCAGGGGTACTTTTACCCTACAGGGTACTTCTGCAGGTGCCGGGGGGCTCGTGGAAAGTTATTATTCCACCTTTCTGTGTTAAAGAGAAAACGTTGAGCTACAGATTGGGATGCTGGCCGCTAACAATTACTGAGATAAAAGTATTCCTGTGATCATTCAGTGGTGAAAAGCCCGAGCAGATTAGAGGAGAGACGTGAGTTTTCACTATCGATGTGTTGGGTAGCCTGGGAGGGGAGCGGGTCATGTGACCGAGGAAACATCATTCATTTTTATTTAACCAGGCAAGTTCGTTAAGAACACATTATTATTTACAACCGAGGCCTGGCAAGACAACAAGATCAACAGGGACGATCAGATTAATGGGGGGGGGGGGGTTACAGTGTGAACCCACATCCTCTGCTGCTCAGAGCAACACACCTACACAAAATATGTATTTCAGCGTCACAGTTCAACGCTAACAGAAAGGTCAGAGTGAGGAGGCGGCCAGAACCCGGACTTTCACCCAGAGACCAGTGATCCTCTTCCGTGTGAAACAGAGCCAGTGATGTTTAGTGAGATTCCATAATTAGGGTCACTCAACTGAACCCTTCTGCCCGCCTCTGACGATTTAGTACATTTTTCTCTCTCAGCTTGTGGCATGAAATTTTCTTCTGTTTTGTAAACTTTTTGAATTCCAGTGTCTTTTACGCTCACATGTCATTTATACTCTCTCTATGCATTTTGCACCCTCTGGACACCTTCGTGGCTAAAACTGCTATAAATAATTCAAATCCCCACCAAAGACCCAGCCCTACTATTTATTTTATGGAAAATCATTTAGTTTTTGTGGTTTTTGCAATAAATAATGAAATAATTCAAATAATTAAACTGGCACTGAAAGGGTTAAAATCCTGAAACTGATTAAATGTTTGGTAGTTTTGAGCAGGGGAGAAGTGGTTTAAGTGAATTTTATGGCAGTTTAATTGTGCGTGTACAGTTTTGCCACGATATGTCCAGAGGAGGGCGTAAGGGTTAAGACACGTAGATATTACAGCAACATTTCACAATGTTAACCACTAGTTTTATTTTGAAAGTCCATTGCATATTTCTTCTTGCTAACTTGACCACGGAGCCCCACTCGCACAAAAATTACACTAAAGGGTTACCAGGGCGTTAAAAAGCGACGCCAGGGGGTCTGAGCGAGCGTCACATTTAAAAGACAAACGGAGGATGAGACGTAACAACGCTGCAGTTTGGAGATGTTGACTGGTGAAGATCAGGATTAAACATGATATCTTGGATTGTTGACTTTCTTGTATCAAATATGATACAGTAAATATTTTTCTGAAATATTATCTTCCGAGTCTGTTTTCCTTGCGTGGTGAGCTGGTGTGAAAGCTGAAGTCTAACCTCCGGCTGTCTCTCTCTCTGGCAGGTACGGCGACATGGTCCCAAAGACCATCATGGGGAAGATCTTCGGCTCGGTCTGCTCTCTGAGCGGCGTGTTGGTCATCGCCCTGCCGGTCCCCGTCATCGTGTCCAACTTCAGCCGGATCTACCACCAGAGCCAGAGGGCCGAGAAGAGACGAGCGCAGAGGGTGACGACCGCAAACTCTTTGTTTAAACGCCCCGAATCAGCAGAGGTCACGGTTCAGTTTGTAGCTTCAGCTGAGATTCAAACTCAGGAAGAGTCTCTTTAAATGTTTGTGTGTGTTTCCATAGTTCAGTTCTGACGTGTAGAGACTAAAGTGGAAAGGAACCAGCACAGGTCTGGTCGGCCTGACAGGTTGAAGGAGCCGCGAGGGCAGTGAGAGTGTTTGGATTAAATATTAATGTACAGTTGTTGGCTGGCTTGCTGTGTTCACTGCAGCAGATCTCCTCTTCATCAAGTGGAAGAAACCCTGTTAAGGAGACAAAAGAGGATCGTGTCTGATCTTAATTTAGAAACCTGAGCTTCTGCATAATCCCCAGGAGAAAAGAGAGGAAGTCGTCCGGAGCTTCCTCCAAACATCAACACCACTTTTCTGGCTGTGCGTTTGTTTGTGCTGCAGGGAGACGGACAGGAAGACGATGCTGCTGCAGGCGGCAACACAGAGAATTCTCAAAACCACATCCGTATCTCTCGCTCATCATGTCTTTATGACCCCAGGAAATGGGGGATCCTAATAAATCAAATCCCATTTATCAGATCTGGATCTCACACTAACAACAAAAACACATCTTGTAACGAAGAGCTCCAGATCTCTGGATCAAAACGACATCACGTGACCAGAGTCACTGCTGAGCAGCTTCTCCTGCACCGAAATAACCTCTCATAATTAATTATGAATTGGGATCTTGTAATATCAAATTGTTTTCTCACCAGTATACACATCTTGTGGAGCTTGTAATCATGAAACGTAATAAAAAAAAACATTTACCAAAAAGCACAAAGGCCATCCCTAAAGCTTCAGTGAGTAAGATTCAGGAGGATCTAAATACGATTTAACATCCATGTTTTCAGTGGCATCACAATAATCAGAATCTTTTTTCCCTCCTTAAATCTTTACTGCAGAAAGAGAAATGAAGTGTACATGGGCAGGGCTGGGCAATAAAACAATAATGATAATTATCGCAATATAATTTGCCTCAATAACAATGTAATTAATGTTCAATAAATCATTTAATTTTTAATTCATTTGAGTCAAACAAATTAGCACCTAATTTTTCTATTAAAATGTTTATTTTGTTGAGGAAAAGGGGCTGAAAAAAGATTCACTAATCAAATTTGTTGAAAAAGATTTTATCATAATAGTTTTGAATGTTCTACGTCAGATTTGTTCAGTGATTCACTGTTTGGTGTGTGTCACATTTCTAAAGTAACGTTTCACCACATACTCAACCATCTGGTTTCATCAATTTTCATTCAGGAGCAAAAATCAGCCTTTAAACTTGAAAGAAATAACGATTTATCGTGATAATTATCGATATCAAATGATATGAAATGTTTTTACCGTGATGACATTTTTGGCCCGGCCCTATAAATGGGACATAAAGAAGTAAACAGAACTTTGATTTGTGCAAAATCACGTATTGTGCAAACACATTTTGCGAACATGTAAAGAGTACGGTGAGTTTGCTGTCCGTGTAGAGTGAACGGGACGTCTGCGTGTTGTTTATATAGCAGCGTCCATGTTGATTGCACGTTCTGACTTAAGGGCTCATGAACACGCGGAAGTCTGAAGAACAACTTCAGCACTCGGGAAAGGGGACCATCCGAGGAGCACCTGAATACACCGTGGGCCACTGGTTGCAATTCCCACCCCTCACCACTAGATGCCACTAAAACTTACTCACTGAACCTTGCCTGACACAAGTTATTGTCTCGGTCAGGCAAGATCTAACGCTTTTGTTCGCACGTTATTATCCTGGTTGCGCTACTTACTATATATAAATTCTTTTTTTAGGACTTCACGTCGTGAACAACCCATTCATTTATCTATCAATTAATCCCAAATCTGAAATCCAACCTTTAAGTCAGGATCTGTGTGTGTTCACAAACAGAAAACCAGGCTCGCTAGAATTCGCGCGGTGAAGAGCGGAGGGGCTAACGCGTATTTGCAGTACAAACACAGCCAGCTGCTGATTGACCTCAATGAGGTAACCACGGGAATGGAGTCATCGTCGTCGTCGGGTGGTGCTGGTGTTTTTCATCCTTTGATTTCATGCTTTCTTTGTGGCGCTGTGAGCTAACATGCTGCAGGCTGCTGCATGATAGATGAGCCGGGGCCTGATTGGCTGTTCATGCTGCCTGTTTCTCTGTCTTCATTCAGGGATGTTTTCATCACATCTTTCTTTCTCACTGTCTCTATTTGTCAGTCTGGTTCAGCAGTAGCATGGACCTGTTGCTAATCAGCACATGATGGCAGAGCTGCATTGCACTGGATGAGCTACTAGGTGCGTTCGAGATGACTGCGGCTGACTTTCACCAACTTGACATGAGCTGCATCTGACTGCAGGGGGTGCCGTCAAGTCGGACACACTCTACCTGCAGCAGCTTACTGTGAGCTGAGACCAGGCAATAGTGTGGTTCCAACTTGGTGCGGTCGGGGAAAAGCAACTGCGGACTTGGCGCCTGCAGCCGTCTTGCTCCCGCGAGGTTTTAATGTCATGTGACATGGTGATGTTTTGCAATGCCGGCGGAAGTTGGACAAAATTTCTAACCAGCATGCCTTGTTTTAAGTCCAGCATGCATCACGCACTTATAGACTTCTATACAATCACACGTCTTTCTGCAGCCAGTGGAGTCGCCCCCTGCTGGCTGTCAGAGAGAACGCAGGTTTAAGGCGCTTCAGCTTTGGCTGCAATTTCAGACCCAGAGGTTCCTGCTTAATACCAACCCTCAATACCTTTTAGTGGATAAAAGTATGGAGGGCTACAAAGTTTACATAGCCAACCCAACTATATTGTAAACAGGCAGAAGAGTGATGGCAAACTGCGACGTGTGCCCTGTGTCCTCATTCTGCTCACCGCTGCTCTCAGATGGACAGAACTACGAAACCAGACCGGACCACTTCCTCTACTGCCGTCCAGTGCTTTCACCGCTTTGTCTGACAGCATTCTCAATGAATCCGGTGCTGCTTTCTTGTTGGTAACAAACATTAGCAGCAACGCTTTGATTAGATTTGAGAAAACAGTTATACGAATCATCTGCAACAGCAGTTTGTACTAGCTGACTTGGTTGAATATACATGAAGGGACCTTTGTTGATACTTCAGTTGTAACTGAGCTTCAAATATTTAAGCTCTGTGGGGTCGTTTTCAAGGTGATGGATGTCACTTGGGGAAGGGTCAAGGGGTTCGGTGTTGAGAAGTTTTAAAGGAAGGTTGGTGACGCTCAGTATAACTGATCATGGTGACCTCTGAAGTTCGCTGTGGCTTTAAAACTGATCGTGGGCCAACAGGAAACGTTACTGTTGAACCGGCTCTGTCTAACTCGGCTGTCTGTCTGGCTGCATCACTAACTCACTTTTTTTCCTGTTTTCTGTCATTCTTTCCCTCTTGCATCTGTCCGTCCTCTGCACATCTCTCTCTCAGCTTTGCTCTCACACTGACACATGAAGAATACAGAACCACGTTAACCGCCATGCGTTAGTCCGACACACTAACTCACCTGTGCATGACCCAGTACTCAGGTCTACAAACACTCTCCGCCTCCACGTCTCAGCTCCTTTCTTCTTCTCTGCTCTGTGTGTCCCTTGAGTTTTATTTGGACTTGTGCATTTTGATTGGCCCTGTCATTGGCTCAACTGTCCTGCTCATCACATCATCACTATGCGTCTTTGGTTCCATCACCGTGTGGAGGAATGAGATCCGGCTGAGCTGCATGTCAATCAGCCGAACACGCGGTAGGGGCGGAGTCAGTGTAACACAGAGGTGGTGGTGGACGAAGCAGTGCTCTACAACCTTGTTAGGAACAGTCTAACATTTTGAGAAAATAGCTTGTTTGATGTCTTCCCCAGAGTCAGATAAGAAGATCGAAAATAAAAAGTAGAGATCTGGGACATACTGTATTCGGACAAAGCTAAACGCTAAGCTACGCAGGCAGTCGGAGCTCACTCCTGGTGACCTTAGCTCTGCAAGCCAGTAGGAAGATACGTTACCTCGCCCAGGATAAAGATTCATTACTTTCCTTTGAGTTATCAGGACGTCCTTTGTGGCCCTTAGGATTAAGGTGTGTCGCTCCTTGGAGTTGGAGGTGCGTCAGTTTCTGTAGTGTCCCAGGCAGGAGTCTTAGACTGGTCCTCAGGAGTGAAGTTTGTGATTTCCTTTTACGTCCCCAAGAGGGTCCCAAGGACCAATCATTATTACTTCCTTTAGGGTTCCCAAGACTGAGGTTCTTGATTTACTTTATTGTCATTAAGAAGGTCCTCAGGATTGAGGTTCATGGCTTCCTTTAGGGTCCCCAGGAGTGCGATTTGTGTCCTTCTTTAAGGACCCAGAGAAGGTCCTTGGTTTGTGACTTCCTTTAGGGTTCCAAAGAGGGAGGTGTGTCACTCCCTTGAATGTCCCCAGGAGTCACAGGAGTTGGGTCCATGACGGACTTGGTCGTTTTCTGATTCTGGGGAAGACAGGTAGCAAGCGCACTTCTTAAAATGTTGGACTGGTCCTTTGGCAATACCAGAGCTCCTGAGCTGAGCGTTTTCTGTCCACCCACCTGTGTCGCATTCACTCTTAACCCAAAGAGCATTATGAGTACGGTGGCTCTCTTGGATCAAATGAGGCTCGAGTCAAAACAAACAAGCAGAAACACAAACACCTTTAGAGAAGCAGTGATAAAGCAGCTGTTGTCGGTGGCCTGAGTTTGAACCAGTGAGCGATCCGTCACTTTCTGTCTAACCAGAGAGAAGGAAAAACTGGACAGACGAAAGGTTCTTCAGCAGAGTGTAAGAAAAACAGTATCCCGGTATCCATGTGTGCGGCAGTGGGACTCTTTGTGACTGGGTTGTGGGTGGGGTGGAGGTGTGTCCAATGGCGGGCTCACTGTGATCATGTGATTTGTGTTGCTCTGAAGGCATCCAAGGAAGCAGGACAGGCAATGGTGTGTAAGACCAATCCCAAGTTCGAGGTGCATCATCATCACCTTCTGCACTGTCTGGAGAAGACCACGGTGAGAACATAAAACACACACAGAGACCCACAAAGCATTCATAAATGTACATATTTAGTTGTTGTTTTTCTCATCTTATCTTTAACCTTCTTGTCCTGATGTCCTCTAACATCCTGCCACCTTATCTGCCTCAGAACCACGAGTTTGTGGACGAGAAGACGTACGAGGCGAGCTGCAGGGAGGTAACTCTGGTGAAGCAGGTGTCTCACTCTTCCTCTGACTCGTCCTCTTCCTCACCTCATGGCTTCACCTCCTGCTGCACCCGCAGGAAGAGGAAGAGCTTCAACGTCCCAAACTCCAACATGTCTGTGGGTCAGCAGGGCAGCATCCAGGAGCTGAGCACCATCCAGATCAGAGAGAGGCCGCTCACCAACAGGTAGCAAACACAAACCCAACAAGGGGAGACAGAAAGAATGAACTGAGGAGGAGGGCCAGAGGTTTCTAATGATGCTTAAGTAGGCCCCACATGTGTTTAAAGGGGTCCTAGGGGTCCTTGAGAAGGTGTCAGAGGTCCTGGAAGAGGTTTTAGAGAACCTTATAAAGGTTGTAGGGTGCTTTATCGAGGGGGTTCTGATGGTCCTTGAAGAGATACCAGAGGACATTTTAGAGCCCATTCTGAAGGCTACAGAGGTCATTAGGGACGTTGTGGAGGTTCTTGTAGAGGTATCAGTCCTAAAGGAGCTTTCAGAGGTTTACTGAGAAGGTTGCAAAGATGTTTGAGGAGGTTTAGCAGTCATTGTGAAGTCTCGAAAGTTCTACGGGTCCTTTCATGAAGTTGTAATGGCTCTTAAGGAGATGTTACGGGTCGGTTAGGGTTGAGTAGGTTTTAGTGCTGCCTGTGAAGGTTGTAGGGACCTAAAGAGGTTCTAATGGCCCTTTATGAGGTTTTAGGGGAACTTCAGGAGTTTTCAAACATGACTGAGGAGGTTGCAGAAGTCCTTAACAAGGAATTAAAGCTTGTTGACGAAGTTCTAGTAATCCTTGAGTAAGTCTCATGGGTGTTTAAAGGGGCTCCAGGGGTTCCTTCAAGAGCTTTTAGAGCCCATTGTCAAGGCTGTTACGGTCTTGAAGAGGTTTTAGTGATCATTGAGGATAATTAATAGCCGTGGAGGGCTCCATGTAGGCCCAAAATGACACCCTGTCGCACATGAGAGATGTAACCCTATTGCTTAGATTATACGCTCTCGGTGTTTGGCAGGTGAGCCTGAAGGTGGGCGGATTAAACAGAGACCATCCGACTCAGACAAACACTCTGAGCCGTGAAACGTTTGTTTGTGCAGCCATGCGGCTACCAGAACTACGGTGTTTCTGCCGTCACTCTACGTCTTTAAAACACTGTTTTGCTACGCGATCATGCGCAGTACATGCTGCTGCCAACAGGAAGTAGCCCTGTAGTAGTAAAACCGGCTTCAACCCCGTGGGGTGGCTTCGTCCAGTAATACACTGTCTATGAAAATATGACGACTTCATATTTTCTTCCAAAACCGGTGTTGCTGATGCTCAGTAGCTGCATCTGAATGCATCTGCAAGTTGTTTGTTAAAGATGAGGTTTTAGAGAATAACTGGGGAGGAGACATTCTGCTCTAACCTGACCTAACATATATAAATATAAATATATATATATATATATATATATTCATCAAATGCAGCTCTGAGCAGTAACAGCCTGAGCCACACACTCTCAGACATACTGTATATAAACACATGGCCCCAGAGATCATGTGACAGTGTATTCCCATGTACCGTCAGTGAGCAGGAATCCAGAATATGTCCAGCTGTGGGAGGTCTGCGAACTTTCTCCTAAACATGGACAGCTGGGAAACCAGCCCGACTCTATTACAGCCTCCTCCTGTTTCTCTCTGACTCACAGTATCAGTAATGGCTGAAACTCTGCTCATCTGTTTGCTCTTCATCATATTTTCAACACATTTTTAACAAATATAGTTTGATTGGTTCTGTGTACCATTCAAATGAAAATGACATGTCCATGTATCTAATCTTTACTAATCCAGTGCATTTATATTCACAAACTGCTGCACCTGTCGGCCGAATGGTAGCAACTTGTGCAGGAAATTTAGCTGCAGTTGCACAATTCATTGAAGAAAATTGCTAAATTATGTGGAATAAAGCTGGATTTACAGTTGTGAGTAAAGAGGTGACGGCGTAGCTGACATGCTCCTCCGTGTGTTCACCTGCATGACTTTGGTTTTGTTTGGGCTTTTCCAAAATGTTTTTTATTAAATTTGCTAAGCATTAGATGAAATTTATTGGAGTGTAGAAAGTATTCAAACATGTGGTGGATCCATGTTTCACAGTTAGCAGTAAAGAGCGAGATGTAGATGCCCCCTTGTTGGCGCCAACAACACTCCTCAGTTCTTCTTTAGTCCGTGGCCTGTTGCTCTGAGTCACAGAGAAACAGGACAACAGAAAACAGAATGTAGTTCTTGTACGAATCTGTGCTCAGGGTCCTGAGGTTTTGGGGGTTCAGTCCCACCTAAAGACCTCTACACACCCCTGTTAGTGAAACCTATGCTTGATTTGATTTAATCTCTACATATCCATGTGTCTCTCTGCAGTCGTTCCAGTCGATCCAGCCTGAACGCCAAATTTGAGGAGACACTTCCTCTGAACTGTGACCAGCCATACATCACCGCCGCCATCATCAGCATGCCCGCGCCGCACGGCACCACGCGTGAAGGCAACGACTCAGCCGGCTCCACCAACTATTCCCAGGCCAACATCGTCCGGGTGTCCGCACTCTAGATAACACCGTCCTGCACCAACACAGAAACACAACCCACCCAGCAGGACGATCAGGGGTCAGGGATCAGGGGTCGATGGCCCCGCACCACAGATGGGCGGAGGGGTTGGATCACGAGTCCACGATAGACGTGACTGGTTAGCAAAGCTCTCACGGAGGAAAACGTCTTTCTGTACGCACTAAAACTCAGCTAACCCGCCTTGGATTGCAATTTTTTTCTTTCGTCTTCTAGGAAGGATTTGTGTCCAGCAGTCAAACTTCAGAAAAGAGAAAATGGTGGCACTTTGGCTGACGACTGATTTCAAGCGTCGCCATTGCTATTTTTCCAGTCTTGTCTATGTCTTTAAATTTGATGTCTTAAAACACAAACAAAGATGACGCTAGATTACTCAGTCTTGCAGGTTAAAGGGAATGTCTGACATTTTGGGAACCACACTGTTCTGGTAACATCTTACAGTTTCAGATGTGTTTAGTCCAGCGGAGCACAAAGATCGGAGGCAGAGGGAAACTGCTAGCCTAGCTCCACCAAGAGAGGAAAGAAATCACCTTCCAACAACTCCAAGCCTGTCTGATTTCCTGTACCTGTTCTGGTACAACCCCTAAATAGGATTTTACACCTGAAAATGAGCAGAAAACCACCTCTTTAAAGAAAACCATCTAAAACCAAGCTAAGACAGTTTGAAGTAGGTTTTTTTTCTTTCAACGTTAGCTTTCACTGAGCCAGGCTCTCAGTTTACCCAACATCTCACCTGTCTCTGGGTTTATTAGCCCTGATTCAGTCGTACTTTGTATCACAGTCCTGGACAGCTTCTCATTAAAATTTCAGTTGGTCCGGTGCTCAGAAGATTCATAATGCAAAGAAGGTTAAAGTCCAGGGCAGCTGCACTTGGTTGAAGATATCAGAAGACGTTTCGTCCCTCATCCGAGAGACTTCTTTAGTTCTGACTGGCTGGTAGGGAAACTCAGCTATTTAACCTCAGTGTAGTCGTTAGCTAGCGTCGGCGATACCGCTGGTTCGTTAGTGTTCCTGTAGTAACGACAGTCGTCATGGTTGTTAGAGCCTTCTGAGGCTGAACGACCATCGTTGGCGTCTTCACCTGAGGCCAAGAGGAAATGCTTGTTGAGTTTCCTGGGAAGTGATGAAAGGACCGCATTGTAAGAGGCAACCTAAGCAGATGATACATGGTGCAACATTTAGAGCAACGTTGCTGGGCAATGTTCCCGTCAATGGTAATGAGTGCGCCACGCCACTATCCGTGCATAGTACATAGTCCGAGTTGCTCAAAAAGTTGCCCTTGGTATTATCAGCTTTAGACCCCCTCCTCTGTTCAGCGACGGCTTCGCAACTCGGATGTAGAAGCCGTCGCTGCCACGATCCTGGCAATCGACCGCACAGAGGATAAACAGCTGAGTTTCCCTACCAGCCAATCAGAACTGAAAAAGTCTCTCGGATGAGAGACGAAACGTCTTCAACCAAGTCCAGTCGCCCTGGACTTAACCTGCTTTGGATAACTGTGACCTGGATGACTGAGAACCTTCACAGACAAGATTAATTATGGGAAGGTTGTTCAAAACGCGTGGCTGGCTATCTAACTAATTCCTCTTATCCATTCTTATGGTGGAAACAAGACAATAGTCCCTGCAGCAGTCTTGCAGCACTGCTATTCAATCAAACTCCAGCTGTACCTGACTGATGGAGAATTTCCTCCTAAAAGTCACTATTCTGTGATATTTTCAGCATCCAATCCCTGGGTCACATGGTGTTCACTGCGCAAACCTTAAGGGGAAAATCTATTGTTTTCTTACCTTAAATCCAGCAGCAGGTTGCATTTTCAAACGTATTTGACCTTCAGTCTTTAAGAGTCTTAAAATCTTTACCTGGGCCAAAACCAACAACGACCAGGAGCCAACGCGTCCTGAAACCCTAAACAAAACAGGTCCCGAGTCAACATTTATGTCCTTTTGACAGCCAGCCTGTTCTCATGCTCAGACGTCACATAGACACGCTTCGGAAAAGCCGGAGATTTTGCGTGTATAGTGGACGTCGGCAAGAAGCAGTCCAGCGACAGGCGGACAGATCGGTAAAATTGGACGATTTGATTGAGACTGTTTTGTATGTTTTATTAAATGTTTTAATTTGACTTTTTTTGATTTCATTTTGTTTTATCATTTACTACTTATTATTTACTTATTTTTATAAAAAAACATTTTTTTTGTATTTATACTTCCTTAACTCATCTTTATTTGACCAAATCACCAGCTACCCAGGACTGTGAGTACCAGTTCTGGATCAGGGCTACAGAAAAGGTCCGTGTCAGAATGAGCAGCTGGTCCTTTAGTCCGCTGATTTAGATTTGGAGCTTTTTGTATGTGCAGCTGTGACGCAGAGGGAGAAGAAGGAACCTCTCAGCATGTTGTGTTTGAGTGCATGGATCGGCGTGTTTCCGGAACGCTCCTCTGCATGCAGGTCTGACCACGGCTGGCGGCGCATCAGGTCCCGGTCCTGACTCTGTACATACTCGTTTTTTACCTGACCTTTCTGTCAGAGCTGACTGCAGAAACACACCAGAACCGCCATCTTGGAAAACACTGATGTCAAAACGGTTTGTGTCTTTGCTCCGGAGCTTTTATTCAACGCACCCGGTGCCTGATCTTATTCTTCTTTTCTTATTGTACTTGAATCAGGTCTAAAGCAACGTGCCCCCCCCTTAAAAGTTAAATGTACTGAAGCCAGTATCCTTTTCTCCCCATGAAACAAAGCTGATGGAAGCTGCTTCTTATTTCCAGAGTTAGCCAAACTGCTAAATAACCAGTCGGCTGTTTAAGGGAGGAATGACCGGTCTCACATCATATTATTACACTGTGTTACCCAGCACCGTACCTATGTCTTCAGCTTTAGTGGTCAGACGTGACCTACCAGCAGTTTGTCATTATGAACATGAAAAACAGCCGCACAGCAGGAGTCGTTCAATTTAATGCGTCTTTTGAATGGAATGATTAAATGAATTATCAGAGCAGCGCAGCAGCTTTCCCTGAGGCTCCACCCACTCTCCTGCGTCTTTGTTTTAAACCTCAGACCTTCTGCTACGTTAATAAAACACTGAATCCACCTGAAACGTTGCAGTCTGAAACGTAGCGTGTTCGTGCCGACAGGTCACGTCTGGCTTCCTGATTGGCTCTGATCAGTCAGTCAGAGCAGAAGCACGATGCTGCTGTACTGTGTAAATAAAACTTCTACACTCGTCCTCTGCATGTCTCCGTATTGACTTTGCGTCGACTCCCACTCTGTGTCCCGCCGCCACCGCGTCTTTGTCCTCACGTGTTCCACCTCGCTGTCGCTCCAGGCAGAGAAATCTCTGCTGTGGTTCTTCACCGTCGCTGCTCTGCGTTCCTCTCTAGCAGAACTTTCTTCTGCAGCTGCAGAGTAGACAATCTGCTTCCTGTTTACACCGGCACGCACGTGAGCGGTCACGTGATTGTAATTTATTAACTCCGCTGGGGTGGGCGCAGATCGATTTTGTTTTAGAAAGTTTTAAGCTTAGGAGTGTGGATGGAGCCTAATTTCACTCTGACAGTTTGTCCAGCAGCGTAACTAAAATCCACAAACAGGTTTCACAAATTCTGTCTGTGATTAAACGTTTATTAAACTCCACAGAGCTAGGCTAACTGTCGGAAGCTAATATTTGGGTAAATATTTCAGGAGATGATGATCAGTAATGATCGTTAGAAGACAGAATCCAGTATTCAGTGTGTGATCTGTTAACACCACGTTACTCGTTGTCTGTGTTTCAGCGTTTCACAGTGAAAGAAAACCTTTTAGAGTTTGGTTTGTGGAAACACAGCTCACGTTTGGTATGAAAATGAATCTCCTCTCTCTCTCTCAGCGTCACCGTTTCACCAGCGGTGACCAGACGAACTGTAAATCCCTTTCTTAGAGAACACGCCGTGACTCTCCTCACCTGGACCTTTTTCCAGCTTCACCTGGTGGACGCTTCGCCCCCTCAGCTGGATTTAAAGTTTGCAGGGAGGAAACGGCGGATACGTTGGTTTCTTGGACGGCTGAAATGGATTTCTTTGGTTGTTTTTTATTTGTAAAGACACCAGAAGTTGCCCTACGTTTCAGAGGGAAACTACAAACCCTGCTCGCAGCCCCTGAATTAATCCCCCATCATCCTTCACTGCTTGACTAAACTGTGACATATGCAATCAGCGTATCTTGGTTTATTCCCTTGTTTTGTAAAACTTTGAATTTAGGCTCAGAAACATATTTTTGGTTGTAAAGAAAGAAAAGCATTATTATTATTATTGTTGTTGTTGCTGTTGCTAGTGCACCTGTGCTGTAATTGTTCTTTATGGTGTTGGTAAATCATCTTATTTTCTCAGTCATTCCCATAAGACGTGTCTTACGTTCACTTTGCATTGTTTTTCTGAAGCGTTCCCGACACGACGTGCATGCGTTTGGATCAGTCGTCATGTCGGAGGCACGACGTGATGAAAGGGTTTACTTGTAAATTGAAGAATTTCTGATAATTGTTACTTCTGCTTTGTTACGACTTGTGTTATATTGATAAAATATGAATTATTGAGGATAATATAAAAAAGAGAAGCTTCCATGGTTTTAGTCCGGTGCGGTGTCTGAGTAAATCCAATAAAACATTGTCCTATTAAAACTCTCCAACAGGTCTGGCTGGTAAATGTTTCTTTTTGTCTTTGGACAGAATGTATGGAATCATGAACAGGCTGCTCCACCGTGTTTAAACTGCTTCAACTAAACTTTGTCTTTAGCTTCGCAGAGGGAGGAAAGGATTGTTGGATTTACTATTACGATTTGTTCTTTATTTTTTTGTTTAATGACCCCTGAGATGCATCTCAGGACCTCCTGGGAGGTTTGTCCACATGTGGAACTACTGGATGAGAGTCTTTTCAGTCACCCTTCCATAAAAATAATCCCGGTATAATGAACGGATGAAACCTGAAAACACTGCGTTCTACCTTTTTATCCAGACTAACTGTTAATGAATCATTTGTTCTGCTAAACACACCCGTGTGACACATGTCCCACCTGTCCCGCCTGTCTCACATGTCCCATCTGTCTGCCCTATCCCGTCTGTCTCACCTGTCCCGCCTGTCTCCCCTGTCCCGTCTGTCCCACATGTCCCACCTGTCTCCCCTGTCCCGCCTGTCCCGTCTGTCCCACATATCCCCCCTGTCCCCCGATCCCACCTGTCTAGCCTGTCTCCCCTATCCCGCCTTTCCTGCCTGTCTCACTGTCCCGCCTGTCTCACATGTCCCACCTGTCTCCCCTGTCCCACATGTCCCACCTGTCTCCCCTGTCCCGCCTGTCCCGTCTGTCCCACATATCCCCCCTGTCCCGCCTGTCCCCCGATCCCACCTGACTAGCCTGTCCCGCCTATCCCGCCTGTCCCGTCTGTCCCACATATCCCCCCTGTCCCGCCTGTCCCCCGATCCCACCTGTCTAGCCTGTCCCGCCTATACCGCCTGTCCCACATGTCCCCCCTGTCCCGCCTGTCTCCCCTATCCCGCCTGTCCCCCCATCCCACCTGTCCCGCCTATCCCACCTATCCCACCTTTCCTGCCTGTCTCACCTGTCCCACCTGTCTCCCCTGTCCCGCCTTGTCTCACATGTCCCGCCTGTCTCCCCTGTCCCACCTGTCTCACATGTCCTGCCTGTCCCACATGTCCCACCTGTCTCACATGTCCCATCTGTCTCCCCTGTCCCGCCTGTCCCGTCTGTCCCACCTGTCCCACATATCCCCCCTGTCCCGCCTGTCCCCCGATCCCACCTGTCTAGCCTGTTCCGCCTATCCCGCCTGTCCCACATGTCCCCCCTGTCCCGCCTATCCCCCCTGTCCCCCCATCCCAGCTGTCCCGCCTATCCCGCCTGTCCCACCTATCCCACCTTTCCTGCCTGTCTCACCTGTCCCGCCTTGTTTCACATGTCTCGCCTGTCTCACCTATCCCACCTGTCTCACCTATCCCACCTGTCTCCCCTGTCCCACATGTCCCACCTGTCTCACATGTCCCATCTGTCTCCCCTGTCCCGTCTGTCCCACCTGTCCCACATATCCCCCCTGTCCCGCCTGTCCCCCGATCCCACCTGTCTAGCCTGTCCCGCCTATCCCGCCTGTCCCACATATCCCCCCTGTCCCGCCTGTCCCCCCATCCCACCAGTCCCGCCTATCCCACCTATCCCACCTTTCCTGCCTGTCTCACCTGTCCCACCTGTCTCCCCTGTCCCGCCTTGTCTCACATGTCCCGCCTGTCTCACCTATCCCACCTGTCTCTCCTGTCCCACCTGTCTCACATGTCCTGCCTGTCCCACATGTCCCACCTGTCTCACATGTCCCATCTGTCTCCCCTGTCCCGCCTGTCCCACCTGTCCCACATATCCCCCCTGTCCCGCCTGTCCC